CCGCGGTCCCGGGTCGGAGCGGCCGCGGCCGCCAGGCGGAGCTCGGCGCCCCGCTCCACGCTCACCTGCCGGCCGGCCGCGGGCGTACATGGGCAGCTGCGCGCCGTGCCGCAGCAGGTAGCGCACGGCCGGGCGAGCGAGCGGCGGCGGGACGGGGCTGTCCTCGGTCTGCCGCTCCGCGGGAACCTGCGGGGAAAGAGAGTCGCGAGTCGTTCGGGTGCGCCCGCGGGAGCGCTGCGCTTCCCTGCCATCCCCTCCCGTACCCCGGGCCCCTTGGGAGGAGCCGGCGGAGCGGCGCGGCGCTTCGGGTGGGCGCCGTTACCGCAGCGGCCCTCCTGTAGTCAGGAGCTCGGTGGGGTGTCAGCCACGGCCCGTGGTTCGAGGTGGCGGTTTGGGTTCGGAGCTGTGGGACTGTATGGCTCTTGTCTGCGGTGTAAGGCTTCGGGCAGCATCAGTGAGCATTTGATCCGTCTTTACTCGGGAAATTCACCCGTGGCTGAGAAAAATCAGTTGCCCTTCGTTCCCTGTGGGGAGGTGCTGAGAAACCCGCTGCCCGCAGGCTCGCCTGAGACAGGTTTAGGTTGGCATTTGGTGTATTCCGATTAGGAAACACCTGGAAAGTGGTAAGAAATGAGGTGGGGATTTCTGGCAGGCCGCTTGTGCTGCGTGGGAAAACGGAGCGACTTCGTGGGGAGTGCTGCTGGCACATCGGAAAACCCAGCAAAGACTGAGAGGAACCAGCAGGGCAGCGGGTGTGGGATGTGTGCAGGAAATAGCTCAACAGGAGCACAGAGCTTCGGGAGAGAGATGGGAGAAGGAACTGAAAGCGAACAGCACGGACAGATGACCCAAATGATAAAATGGCATTTCTCTCACCTGCTCTGACAGCAGGATCTGGCGCAGCTCCTTCTGGAGGTCGATAAAGCGGTCGTGATAGATGGCCATGGACCACGGCTCCCTGAAGTAGCTGGTTAAAAAAGAAGAAATTTAGTTATCTCGTGAACCTCTCATTAACCGCTAATAAAGTATTTACCTGCTTTTTCGCCTTTATAAATGACAGTTCTGGACCCATCAGGATCGTTTGTTCGTGAAATGCCTCTCGCAACAGCATGGCCAATCAATTCTTTTAATGGATGTTCCTGATGTACAGCCAGCTCCAGTAATTACATTTAAAGTGGCTTAATTCAGGGCTGTGGCAAGACCCAGTGAAGAATCCTGATTTTATCAGAATTTAAAAGCCCAAAGACCTGTAAAGAACGGTGTCTCCATTATCTGTCCTCATTTGAGAAAAGCAGATTGCAGGATTAACTGAACTGCTGCATAAACAAATTAAATTTGTGTAGACAATGACACAAATGTTGTTCATCATTAAGGTTTCTGGATTAATAAAGGCCAGAAAAACAGGCCACCGCAGTGTTGCAATATGTTCCTTGCAGCAGTGTGCTGAGGCTCAGTGCTGTTACTGATGCTGTTACAAACGCCGGAAGGTTGGATGTGAGATTTGCTCGAGCTGAGCCCTGCTTCAGGTACCTTTCTTTGAAGCATGACATGCCTGTAAGGAGCAGGCAGCAGGAGAAGAGGATATTCCCCAAATATTTAATCAAAGTTCCGTTTCAGGAGAAAAATCCCACCCTACCCAAACCGTTAGCTCAGTGTTAGCATGGGGATGATCACACTGCGCTGTGTTTATGTTGTTTACTGTGCTGCTGCTACCATCACCTGCACAGCACGACCAAAAAAACCTGCTTGTTTTGTGCACATCAGCATTCCCACACGTGGAGCTCCTTCCCTTCACCTGAAGAAATGTGACCATCCGAGGCCGTTCAAAGAAGTGCTTGATGGAATCAATTCTCACTTCCGTTGCTGGCCCTGCGTTTTCCTTCTTCCCCACTGGAATCACCTTTCTAAAGGAACACATGGTGCTTTGGAGGAGGCAGATCCGCATATGGCCCTTCACGTTGGTAATAATGAGAAGAGCCCATCTGAAGCCAAACCAACAAGTCGACTCTGGGAGGCTCGTTCAGAGTTTTATTGCCACTTCAGCAGCAGTCCCTCAGGGCAAGCCGGAGAAAGCTTGAAAGTATAATGCTCTTCAGTATACAAGCTGGAGCTGGCATGCAACCAACAAAGGCTCAAAGGCTCCTGGGCTATCATGAGAACGGCATCTGCCACATGTGTTTGCACCATTTAGTCTTTCATAACTTGCCAGAGTGATCAGGCTAAATATGTACAAGATGACAGTGTTTGCCAGGAGCATAACGGGTTTTCAGACTCCTGGTCACTTCCTAACGGGGATCCCCTGCTGGCAGACTTTTATATCGGCGGAGGAGATCAGGGGAAGGAATCTGTAAGGAGATGGGATGAAATGGTCTCCTTTTGAAGACATCCTTTTTGTTGCTAGGAAGCTCCTCTTGCCTTTCACTGACAATCAGCATCTAAAGTCTGTTCTGCCTCATTTGTGATGTATGGCCGATACGAGATGAAAGGGAAGGAGAAAAATATTTAGTGGCATCTTTTACAAAAGACAGGGGATCTTCCTCTCGCAAAGAGACACAGCGGAGCAAAAAATGGATCAAGTTGGCCATTGCTAGCAAGCAGAAATGGAGTACGCATGGAAATGCTTTCAGTCTGAAATCTCTGTTCTCCATTTCATTTGCAGCTGCACACCTTCTGTCTCCCGGGGTTCATTCTGATGCTGCCACACTCCAGTGATGGAGGAACCGGCCCCAACCTCCAGCCGTGCTGCCATCCTAAGGTGGGTACAGCAGAGGGAGGACGCATAGGAAGAGGAGGGGATTCCAATGCCAGGGAGTGTGGAGGGAAACTGCTGGGATGGGTTGGGGTGGAGCACACTAGAAGAACTGTCCCCTTTTGCCAAGAAAAGAGAAGATGCATCAATCTAGGGCTGGAAATTGGTGATGTTTCCTGCTTTTACTAGCTTGCAGCTGTTGTTGAGTTCTCACCAAACTGTTCTTTACACTTTTGAAACTCTGTGCTTTTAAAAAAAGACATAAAAGCGTTGCGTTCTGCTCGGAGAGAAAATTACTGCTGACCCCGAGGAAAGGTTTATTGCATTTCTGCACACAGGACTATCCCACGTGTAATGCATTATGAAAAACAATTAAAAGGAAATTAAACCTGACTCACATCAGCAAATACGCTGCGTACAGTGGTACGATCACTTCTCTCTAATTACTCGTTTATGACTTCAGAGCTCAGTCATTCATAAGGGCCTGTGTAATTATTAATATGAATCAGCAGTGTTGGACCACAGATCGGTGTGGTAGAATTCAGCTGACCAGCCTTTACTTACTGATTTGGATGTGGGGTTTCTCGTTGGCAAGTCGGCTGCGCCTTAGAAACTATATTAATAAATAAAAAAGGAAAGTCACCTAAAGGGTTCTACCATTTATACTGCTTTGCTATCAAAGCACAGCTTCACCGGGGCACCTCGGGGTCAGCACTGAATTCCAGTATGAAAAATAGCTGTTAGTGCTTTGATATCCCTTCACGTGTTCCTTTCTCCTTATGCTGTCCCTCTTTCCATAAAAAGCACATGTTTTTTCCTCTAATTAGGCTGCCAAGTGTACTGAGCAGCATTAGCCCCTCTCAGCCCTGCTCGCTACCTGCCACATTTTCTCCCTGCTTTTTTTCATCCCTGCAGAAAATAAGTCTCACTGTCTGCAGGGTGAACAAAAGCCTAAGGTGGAATCCCTTCAATGTGATGGTGGTGTGCTAATGGTGTGGGACGTGGCCAACCCCAGACAGCGCTGCGCTGTAGCATTTCTCTTAATGAACAATCGCCCTTCATTTTTGAAAGCCCTTTTTAAAGCCAGCCTATGTATGGAGCACGTATTTCATGCTTAATCGCTGATTATTCCAGGCTGCATTAAACGTATATCCTCACCTCGTCCTTTGAAAAATAGCACTGCACACACTGAATGTTCTTTTTCCTATTTCTTCAGTTATGTTGTGAGGTTGATTAGAGTTGAGTCATTAGACAGAGTGCGGTGTGGTTGCTTCTGCCTAAGCCCTCATTAATGACTGATTAGTAAATCACTTTTAGCCTCATGTAAAGAGGACTATGATGTGTGAACTGAACTTAAGCAGAAAAAGCCAAGTGGGGATGTGGCACTGAGGGATGTGGTCAGTGGGCATGGTGGGGATGGGTTGGTGGTTGGA